GAGAAAATTTTTGATGCATTGAAATGGAAGATTTTACGCTAATAAACAAGAAAAAATTGGCTATAAATCATTCGGGAAAAAATAAGGCTTAGGCTTAGACATAACTTTTAGTGGATTAGACTCGATAGGCATCATTAATCTCATTTCATCAATCAAAGTTTGTAGAATGATGGTTCAACTTTTGTTACATTATTTTATTTGTTACATTACATATTTACAATAAATATTCTTCATCTATTCACAATATTCATGCTTCATTGGTCCTATCTAAAATTCAATTGTATTGAACTTAACTAAACTGAAGATAAACTGATTTCTGGAAAACCTCATCCATTAATTATAATCATGTTAATTAAATACAAGATGTTCTAAAGATTTCATTTAGGACAAGCAATTGCGGGCCCGCAAAGAGTAAAAAATAATTTCGAAATGCCAATAAAACTCCAGGAGGAAACAATCTTCGAAACAAAGTCTCCAGAATGGATAGAAATATTTTTTCAACGGATATATTCTCTAATATTAAAAAAAGACCGAAGAATTTGCCTATTAGACACCTCTGGAAAAATTTCCGCTCTTTTTGCTTAATGGTAATACAAGACAGTATGATGCGCCCCAACTAAGTTGCATTTAGACTCGGATGCAAATATTGAACATATGTTCAAAAAAGTACTATCGTTTCAAACATCGGCAAACCACCTCACCCGCTTTATTAATATTCCCCTGCCTTCGATTTAGTTGTTGTCGTAGCGAAGCTCCTAAGAGCGAAGGAATTGGCCATGCTCCAGAGAACATCGGTAAAGATTAGTAATGAAACTGATAGATCTTTTCGAAATAAAAATTGATATTTTCTTCTCTACAAACTAGTGTAATATTCAATATTCAATATTTCTGTTATAGGATTGAATGGATTATGGACATCGATGCCGAAGAGATATATAAGTGAATCCAGAGCACAGATGGTACCAAAGATTTTAAGCTGATAAGATCGTAGTTCTTTCTGCCGATAATTATGAAAGAATGTAAGAGATGCCAGAAGTACCGTCAACTACAGCAAAAATTGGATTCAGCAATTGGATCCAAAATAAATAAAACGAAATCATTTATAACTGGTAAAACATTTTATCAGATTTTAAATATTTCTCTTAGGTCTATTCTTGTACCAAAGGACCAAAAGAAAGATGAAACTGCAGTTCGTATAGTACCTAGGATGGCATTCTTCAGTGAAATCACCATCAAAACGAAAGTTCGCTCTCAGGTACATTTTATTTGACGAACGAATAAAATCCCAAACAGTTGCATCCATTTTCGCTCAAACACTATCTGCAATATCAAAATAGCGTCACACCGCATCGCCTACGCTATTTAATTCTTACCATATATCGCAGAAACTGACATACAGCTCGCTATGGATGCCAATCGGAAGTAGGCAGGACGGAACAAAATCTATACTTATATTCTGTACGCATAATCTCTCCCAGCGACCCAAAAAAGAATGGCTCAGTGGGCTGTTGCTTAACTGGGAGCGTCAATGTTGAGGTTCGATTCTCTGCAGGGGTAAACCTGTACAGAAATCTATGAGATGCTAGTGACTGGCCTGTATTTCTACTTTCAAGGGACTTCCTGGCATGTTGCCCAATACGTCAAGCCAGTGGAACAGGTTCAGTAATGGCAAAGACTCTTTAAAAGACTCTTTATTTTTAAAGACTCTTTAAAAAAAAAACAGGAATAGAAAAATAGCCAGATGATGCACGCATAATTTATTTCAGCGACCTAACATCCAAGAGACAATGGAAGAATGATTGTACCACATCGAGTCCAGCCACTTGGGCAAGTGCTTTTATAGCCAATGGAACCAGTTTAATCGGTACTGATGCAAGTTATTTGGAAAAGAAATAATCCATTGTTCTTGTTTGCCACTGTCATTATGGTCTACTCACTAATTACTAAATCTAGCTTATCTTTTGAAATTGAAGGAGTTATCTCTCGCGAGTTTTAACCAATGTCCACTGAGATTGATAATACTACACATCTCCATAGAATGTATAATTGTATAAACTTAATGTTTTATCATTTTTGTATACTTTCTTCATACTACATATTGTTAAAGTAATAATCTATCAATCCAAGTCAACTTGGGTTTATGGTACGATTATGTATATTTTAAATGAAATCTTCAGAACATCTTATAAAGTGTAGTTGTAATTAATTACAATTAATGTAATTATAATTAATGGATGTTTTCCAGAAATCAAGTTATCTTCAACTTAGTTAAGTGCAATATGTTTAATGATTTTAGATAGATCGATAAATCATAAATATTGTGAATAGTTGAAGAATGTTTATTATAAATAAATATATAAATATTATATAAATGTATAACAAATAAAATAATAAAAAAGTTGAATTATCATCCCACAAACGTTGGCAAAGACGAGACTAATGATATTTATCGAATCTAACCACTAAAGTATCACCTGAAAGATTCGATTTGTACATTAACTGGGCCGTTTTTGACAGATTGTAGCGGTATCCTTCATTATTAACCAAATGATATAAGGCCACTGTCACGCAATTTCTGCTCGGTCAATGAACGAGCACTAGAAAATTTGCTTAAATTTGTTTAAATAAAATAAAAAGATATTTTCTGTTAAAAATTTAATTAGTCTATATGGGTTAAATATAAAAATATATTGAATATAAAAACAATACTCTTTATGAAAGTAAAGCTTTTCTTACCAGCCATCCCTCACGATACTATAAGTTCCTCGAACGCTTAAATCGATCACTGTACTTCCTTCACGAGAAATTTCACCGAATTCGTTCTTTACAACACCACCATCAACAACTAAATCAACCTGCGACCAGAGATCCCCGAAATCCTAAATCGAATGAATGGCCAAATGTGGAATGGCTATAAAAAATTATCAGTTTCCAATTTTTCAAAATTCATCACATCCTTAACATAAAAATTCATTGAATAAAAAATTGTAAAAGCCAAAAAAACTTCAATGCAGATCGGACTATTAGTGGCACCAGAAATATTGGCACTTGACTGGGCCAATGGACTGCCAAGTCTATTTAGAAGAGATAGGACAAAAGAGTGAGCAGGTATTCGAATTCCAACTGTATCGTGATCAGGATTGAAACATTTAGGAAGTAATGTCGACCGTTTAAAAATAAGCGTAAAAGGACCAGGCAAAAGATTTTTCAAAATACGCTGATCAACAGTTTGTTCACACCATCTAAAATCAATATGAATTTTCAATATTTTTCAATATTTTTACGCTATTTTTAACAATATTTTTCTGCTAATAAATACCAAAAGAATATAACCCCAATGAACCCCAATCTTAAAAATTTAGTGAAATTTCGTGAAATTTGTTGAAAAATTCACAGTGGAAAGCCATTTTTAGTGAACAATAGCAGAAACTTCCAGATGAATATGGAAATGTGGCCACCAATATTGATTCTATAGTTTTTTCTGAACAAAGAACTTAGAAAATAATAATCCCTTTATTTCTTTTGTGTTTCATTAAAGTTAATCATTTGCTTACTTTGATACTTCATTAATATCGTTGATAAAAAGGCCAAAAGGCTTCAAAGGATTGCGTCGTTTTAAAGCATAAATTTTTTTCGCATTCGGAATTGTCGTAACCAAGCCATAAACTGTATCTGTTGGAACAGCAACAACTCCACCGCATTCCAGGATCTGCACTGCTTTGTAAGTAGCGCTTTCAAGAGCTAAAATACAATATTTTAAAATTCACCTTTTCAAATTTCATACCTAGCTTAAATGAAAGCTTAAAAATAAATTTAAATTTTTTTCTCAGCGTCACAGTTTCAACTTCAAGGAATATAGGCTCCAAGGAATGGAACCGGAGCTCAAGCAACCAGTATCACTTACAATGCTCAGCAAGTCGAATCACTTTCTCCATTTCTTCTCGTCCCAAATACCATAGAAGCCTTGATACTGCAAAGGCTTGATTACCGATCAATTTTCTTTTTTTATTTGAAGAAATAAAATTTAAAAAAAATAATTGGTCATTTGAAAAAAAGGAATATCGGAGAAATCCGTATAAAATAAAAAATCTTTCTTTCGAATTTTTTTATTTCTGAATCAATAGTATTCACAAATAAATATTTTTGCTTGACTAACCAACTTATCAAATCAAATCAATGAAATATCAGGAAATACCAGTAACCACCAAGCAATAATAATTTAAAATCAAAACATTAAATGTAACATACTTTAGAAATTAAGTGATAAGCGAATGAATAATGAATATTCTTTAGGAAGCAAATGAATAGTGTTACAGAAAACGCATAAATGATTATAATCACACTTGCGAAAATATGAAAAATGGCAGAGAAACCCTTCTGCAAAAACAATTATTCCAGAAGAAAACTATTGGATATAAGTCAAAATGCGAAGAATTCTTAAAGAGACAAATGAAAATATTCTTCATATAAGAATATCATAAAAAAAAGTTAAATTGAAAAATTTTAATGCCACATATTTTAGTAAAAATCCTTAATTTTTTGAAGAATGGAAGAATGGAAGAAAAAGATCTTTAATAAGGATAAATTCCGATGGGCTTCCAATATTCCTGAAATCATGAATTTTTTCAGAAATAGTCGCCTCTTAAATTAGTACGATTAATAAGAATGGCAACGAAATAAGAAGTATAAAAAACTCAAAATAAAAATTAAGGTTTTAACAGGGAAAAAATAATTAAGTATGCTAGCGATGATCTTCAAAAGATAGAGCAATCTTTTTTGCAATCAAAATAATATTACATAAAATAAATTGTTCATTTCTTTGAAAAAACGACGATGTTTCACTATAGCAAAAATAAACAAAAGTAAACCAAAAATAATAAAGATAACAATGAAAACAATTAAAGCAAAACAAAGAACATATTACATTCATTTCTATCGATGGAACGAGGCTGCTGCCAAGCTTCTCTTTTTCTTTTTGAAACTGGACAGAGATGGCTATCGCCGAGTGATTTGCTCCGATATTTAATGCTTCTAATGAAAAAATTGTACGACAGGGCAATGGATTACAAATCGATTAACACATTTCCAGTCCATTACCTCTAGTACCACGCTAAAATTCAATTCAAAATATAGGCAAATAAAATTTCTAATTGAATATCTCAATTTCTCCAAGGTCCCAGCAATTAATGGTGGGAAACCAGAAAATTTAGGATTAACTTAGGGTATTTAAAATTCAGCGTCCATCAATTGATAATTTATTTTTCTTGGAGGCGTATAACTAAATCATACAAATTCTTTGATTAACCATATGAATAATAAATTTTACAACTGCTAGCATACGATCAGAAATTGATTAGAAACTATGAGTTAGAAGTTAGAATAATCAAAAAAAAATTAGTTACCAGTATCAACAATATGCTAAAAAAAGGAGCAAAGGATATCAATATAACTACCTTGATGCATCCTAAACAATATACTCATAGGCACAACCTGGTAACAGTTGTTCAAATAAACTAAATAGTTAAACAAATCAGTAGTAATACCAAATTCTTGAAGAGCTTATTATATCGAATGGCAAAAAATTTTTATTAAATGTGAAATAAAAACTTAAACTACGTAATCGCGATGGTTAGGTAAGGATCAATGGAGATAAACTAAAAGCTTAAAAGCAACTGATTTTTTTCTAAGAAAATCCATACTGAGTATTGATAATGATTTATAAGCATCATGGTAAGTCATATAGTTATATATAAGTCATATAGAATCTCTTTATTATTCTACTATTAAAACAAATAATATCAGTAGACTGGTACTTTTTTAAAAACTCGTTCAACTAGCTTGTTAGACTAGGTAAATTTTGCTAGAAGAGTTAGCGACAAAAATATAGGTAAATTAGTATCACCCGGATTTTCGAAAAATAGACAAGAATAGAACTCGAATTCCGAAATCAAAGTAACAACCATTTTATCCCCTTTTCGTCATTTGGCACCATTTTCGCCAAAAACGTAGTAGTCAGCTAACCTGGAATATGAGCTACTTCCCATATCCATACGTTTACAACAACTTAAAAACGTACAAAAGCTTTAAAATTTTAAAACAGTTATCCGGATTTAAAATATTCTTAAATACTATGGTAAAGAAGATATATAGCAAGATTGTTTGTTTTTGTTTTAAGAGTCTTCACCATTACTATTATTATTCTTCACATTGAACAATATGCCACAGACTCTCTTGGCGATAGAAATACAGGTGAGTTGCCAGCATCACCCGGATTTTTCTACAGAGCCTACTCCTGCGGGGAAGGGAATCGAACCCCAGCATCGGGCAACGACCCACTGAGCCATTCTATCCCCAAATATATAGCAAGATTTACGAAGAAAACAATTCTGACCGATGAAATCAATACTGTCGTCGCCGATGCAGCCTTCGTCCTTTATTATCTGAAAAAATGAACGTTCCATATAAAAGTGAAAACAGAAAAAGATCCCCAGATTTTTAACGAATCGTAAAGATCTTGAAAAAAAATGGGAACCTTCCATTCCAAAAAAATTAAATAAAGAGAAAGGAAAAAAATATTTGAAGAGCAAAAAATTGATTGGCAAATCCTAAAAATAAATTTTGCAAGAAATAAAATAAAAATATTTACACTTCCCGGAAACTGACAAACGGCTTAATGAACTTGGTGATTGACGATTCCACCGATGTTGAGTATCACGATCAAGATTATTGTTCTGGGTGCCCGGATATACTAAAAATTTCAATCTTCACAAATGCCCAATCAATTTTCACAAATGCCCAACTCTTTCTGATTTTTCTTTAACAATTAGAAAGAATTATAATACGAATAATTAAATGCTGAAAAAACTGCAATCTCCTATAGATTATAGATTATATATTGTCAAAAAAATTAATTGGCCAACCATATTGGGCAGGTTCATTGAAATGATCGCTTCTTTGTAAAGCAGGCTGAATTCCCCCTATAACGAATTAATTCAAATAAGATATTTGACAAGAAAGAAAATATTTTGTGGTATTCTGTAATGGCGGATATTTCTTTTAATTAATTTATAATATAAAGATATAAAAATACAGACAAAATTCGAAAAAAAAAATTGAGCTATTTTATAAACAAATAGAAACAATCTCCGAAGAAAACTAATTATGTTTTTTCATTAAAAGGATAAAAAATATAAAACGGTATTATTACCACAACTATAACTTTGTGATCCTACATCAAAGCGATTATCAACTTGCACTGCTGAATTTGATCCCGTCACAGTTAGGAGCAGTTCTTGCAATAAACCTCGAGCCTTCAGTAATTGGTCTCTTGACAAAGGGGTAAGAGTATTGTTAACATTGAAAGAAGCTGGAACTAATGTTTAATGCAATAGGAAAAACCGTTAGAACAAAAATATCTGAATAACTAAAAAACATAATAAATTAATCCAGAAAATCAAAAAAAAACGAGAAAATTCAAATAATTAATGAATAAACTGTTCAAAATAAAATATCAATCAATCGAAATTAATTATTTCAGAATATATCTCAGAATATATATTCATCAATAACGAAATCATTACCATTTTCACTTCTGAATTCCGGGAAATACTGACCCCTGTTAATACTGAGAAATTGTTCGCGCGAAGTCCCCGAATATGGATGGACATCGTACTCAAATTTGCGCGAATTCCTAAAATTCTCAAAATTTTATGCTAAATGCATTAGCATATATCAAAGATATGAATATAAAAGTTGCATCAGCTCTGTGCCTTAAAGTTTAAGTTTAAAAGAACGCTGAAATCCAAAATTAACAAGAAAAATAAAAGAAATCGGAAATTTCGAATCATTTTATTATGACCATAAATTGTGGAGACAATAATTATTATGACCAATAATTGTGGAAACACCTTTGCAAGTAGAAAGAAATAAAGAGCCAATATTAATCGTATGAATCCTATATGGCTTTAATATCTTTTGGTAATTCGATTCGTGGCTAATATTTCAACATCATGAAGTAAACAGAATTAAACAACAAATAAAAACAGTTCACCACAAAGACTGTGGCCTCGCTTCTTTTCTTTCGATGAATTGGTTTCATATTAATTTTGCACAGTTTATTCGAGTTGTTTTCTTGTGCAAAACCCATTTTTGTAATAAGTCATAAATAATTTAGTTTGAAGGTTTAAGATGGATGAATAATAATGAATATGAAAAAAAAATAAAAAGAATGCTATCGAATATCAACTCGATTCAAACGATAAATTTGATCGCATCAAAATTTTGATTATCTGAATAGCAATAGTCAACGCATACGTATAATCACATCAATCCAAAATTTGTTCATGCTTTCGCCTTATTTTAAATCAACATTGTCGAAATTCTTTTTTCTGTAGATTCTCCTCTTTTTTTAATGTGCTTTTTCAAGTTGAGATTAATAGCCTGATATTAAGTGTTGCGTGTTGCGTCATGATTTATAAATTGTTAATCGTTTACCCAATTCGTGGCAAATGCGAATTAAAAAAATTGCAAAACTTAATATAACAAACGCAATCTTGCAAAAATTAGATGAAGTATAATGATTGTTGATCCTTGGCAACTGCACGAATTATGGGGGGTCAAAATGAAAATTTCTTTACAACTACTTAATGCTGTTGTTGAAATATTCGATATGATAACTATTTGGGATTGGAAAATTTTTCACTGTGATGTTATGAAATTTGCTCGAAAACTGCTGAATAAATGAACTGATGCATTCCAACTTCAATAGCATAATCTTTCAAACATATGATGAGAAATCAAAAGTTCATAATCTCCTTTAATGAAACATCAGAATCGCACATACTGATCTATTAACGAAAGGAGTAACCCAATTACAACATTATTTCTATCAGCTCACCAATTGTCAACTGCTGAATTATAATTAGAGAAATTTTTGGAAACTCTGGATTCGCAAACAT